TGAATGGTAGCTTTCCATCGTTGATTTGTAAACCTTAAAAGATTTGTACGTGGCAGGTTAAAAGTTTGAGTTGTAAATAATTTATAATAATTTATTTTCTATTGTGCAAAAGTACTTTCTGAGCATCTACACTAAACAGCTAAACATCACATTCAGAAAAGAAAAGAAAATTTTTTAAAAATGTCTCTGAAAGGTGCACTTTATACGTATTTCCTTTACTTAGTACTAGTAAGCAAACGATTTGCCTACTACATTATTTCTATAATGCACATGATATAACCTGTGCATGATATATATAACATGATATAACCTGTGCATGATATATATAACATGATATAACCTGTTTAATGAACTACTGAAAAAAATTCAAACAATGATTATCTGATATGCAATGCGAGAAAAAGCATTCCAAATCCCAGAGATGTCTGTACAATAAAGATATTATCCTATTTGTCCCATTCATTCTTAACACGTCTTTGTTTCAAGAACTGCTTGTTTTATATTTCATTTAAAAGCACAACAATGAAATATTTTCTTTAAAACTACACAGAACAAACCATAGGACATTTATCTCTTTTAAAGTGAGAAAACTTAAACCATACTATAAATTCTCATAATCAAATTCATTGCGTTTATATATTTAGAATATGATTCACTTGATTATTTTCTAGCTTTCTGCGAAATGATTCAAAAAAAGAGGTATTGAATCAGATATTAAACATAATATGTAAATGCACTTTGAAATCACTAGAGCATGGAGAGGGGCATGTTCACGGTATAGACTGACTGTTCTACGTCAACGAATAGAATTCATTTTCCCTCCATTTTAAATTTTGATATCAGTACGAGTAGTCAGAATGTCATGCTCTAAAACAAAATTTAGAACAGTGCTAAATGCGTGACTGTAAGAATTACAAAAGATACATTTTGTTACTGAGAAAATATTTATTTCGATATTTTAATTTTTTTTTAAACATTTCACCACCTGCATTTCATTGTATTGTTAAAAAAAAATATTTTTAACTGAAAAATAACTGGCTGTGCAAATCAAAACCATACAACATGTTTTTATTTATTTATTTATTTATTTATTTTTTTAAAAGAAGGGGGGTCTAATTGCTTTAAATATGAATAGAATTTCTTTATGTTTTTATCAGTAGTTTTATTTCACCTCACATTATCCTGATGATACCTACATTATTTATCCTATTTAATGGTTTTATTGAAATATTCACGTGTTTCCTTTAATATTACAGAATAATAAGGAAAATATTACATTTAACATTAAAGTTATATTACTCCCATAAATGTACAGTAATACGGCTTTGATATGGCCTATTTATTTGAAACAAAACAATTCTTCGGCATTCTTTGTGAGGATATTAGTGAAAAGCAATTCTATAAATTGAGAATCTTTATTCCGCAAGTAAAGTCTCTCCCTAATCTTCATTGACATTTAAAATACTATCCTATTTATGTAGGAAATGCAAAACTACCCAAGTTGCACATGATGAAAAGATTTCACAAAAGTTTTTTGTGTGATATATACATATTTTTTTTTAATCACCGTGGCTTATTCTACATTTACACGAAGGACTTAATTTCCCATATGTACATGTATAAGCCGCACTATATTGTGTAAGGTAATTATAATTAATGGAACAAATGGAAATATGCCACCTACGACGTGGATCAATTTTAATATAATTCCTGGTATGTTTTTATTTGTTTTCATTTGGTGGATCATTAATTTCATTGTTTTTGTAATTCATTTGTGACGAATCAGTTTTCCTGACGAAGTCAATCACCACATTAAAATGCCATAACTTTATCTACTTTTATTTTTCCACTCATCCAAATAGATTTGATTTAATATGGTCCAGAGAATTTCAAATATAAAATAAAATCGCTTTTACTGACATACACGACTTAGCAAAAAAAAATCTCTTATTCCATCTGTAAATGAAGCTCAAAGACAAAGAAATCACATTTATATAAAAAATACTCTACAAAAAGTTGAAGCAATATACGCGTATTCTAATATGGTTCCTGTTTATAAATTGTGTTTATATTTTTGTAAACACATTCGGCTAGAATGCCTCCTTACCTATTATAATTGGGTAATTCAATTTATTTTCGTTGTTTTGGCCTAAATTTTAGAGATAATGGATAAAAACTACGCATCTCTTTTTTTTCAAAGACATTCGCGGTAAAGTAAATTCTTTCAAATTTCATTTGAATGATCAAAGAACGTTTAAAGACTTTTTCTACGTATGGTCAGAATAACTGTTGACAAAATGTGTTAGGAAAAGGCACATTAAAAGTTTGTATGTTCGGAAACCTGAAAGAAAATGTGTCCAATAACATCAAAATAAATGAATAAACTAAACAAAAACATATAAGCCAAAGAAGCATACATTACCGAGAGGTTCACGATTAGGATAACCTCTATACTAATTAAATCTTTAAAATAAAACGAAGATAGCATTCTCTCAAAAATTGGGAAAAATTTGGAGCCTTGCTTGTAAATCAGCAATAATACGATTTATGACGGCATAAAACACGGTCAATGTATTTAAGTGAAGAAAATTCAGCTAAATTCCGTCACCGATATTTTTTTTTTTTTTTTGATCACGATCGTTTAATCAATCGCTTAAGGGTGCATATGATACAATGTCATGTATCTATATTTTTTATTACTTTTTTTGCTTTCTAAAGATCACGAATCAATCAAGCGAATTTTTTGTTAACTTTTTTTTATCCTATTTCAATTGAGTAACTTTAAATGTAAGCACCTGTCTTGTCCCATGAAAATAAGTGAAGCGAAGTCCAGTCTGTTAATTGAAAGCATGGTTTGAAGAAGTATGAATTTAACTCGCTGTCTTTGCAACACGTGTATCCACCGTTTGTTGCCATATATTGTAGTACAGTATATTGCACTTTTTAAAGCATTACCGCTTTCTCCCGTTTATTTCAGGCTTGCTAATAGCCACAATTGCTTGTTTAGAAAATTGTTGTAGGAAGTAGCACTGCTGGTAGTCAAGAGGCAGAGAGTATACACACGTCTTTCAATATTAAATGATAGCATCATACTTCTAAATATTTACGAAATAGATTTGATATAGTGCTTTTAAGTAAATGTAAGTAGGAAAAAATGACCTTAATTTATATCATATCGGTTGTGCTGATTCGAAAAAAAAAAGTAATGATACCGTATGCTCACTATGCTAGTTTTGCTTGCTTTAAATATTGAATATCTGTTAACCAATGCATGCTAGAGACATTAAATACCCGTTTATGGCCGTAGAAAGCGGGGGTGGGCACTGGGGAGAGGTGTGCCCCCGGATTATTACTCTGACATTAAGTATACCACAGAATAACATATGGAGATAATGAACAGTAATCAATCTCAAAATACTATCAAAACGATACAAATCGGGACCAGAGCATACACAGGCCTCCAAAACATCAGAGATGAAATCAGGTGCCATGGAGGAGGAAGCATCCCCTGTCAACCGGTCAGATCCACTGTGTGCTCCTTGCCATTATCAGGCAAAGGGAAAATTCCGTAGACAATTCAGTGTGTAGATAATGACCTAACAATTAGTTTAACATAATTACTTCATGCTGTACCCCCTCAGCTATAGCGTCTGGTGGTAAAGAAATGTTTGCTGGATAGTACCCCAACACCCTACTGAAAATATTTAGTTGTCCCCCGCTCAAACAGAAGTTGTTTACTAATTAATCGTCATATTTAAGTGGTTTTTGCAAAGATTATGGTCCCTTATCTGCAACATTGTGTGGGAATATCTTTACATAATGAGATATTATATTTTAAAACTTCTTTTCATTCAACACAAATTCAATGCAAAGTTATCAAATATTCACTCTTTTTATTTCGATGAGCTATAATGAAAACACATATTTTATTGTCAGCATTCTAAACATTCTGGAATATTGTTTTAAGCGTTATAAAATTAACCTGGGTAAGTTCAATATTTATAAATCATGACGTGCATGACATGCATATATTAAAGTCCTATTTAGGAGAACCGTGAACTTTCTAAAATTATCATTAATGCAATTATGTTCCCTGTCAGAAATGATATAATCAATGACAGATTCATTAAATCAAACTTTGATTGTGTAACTAAAATTTTGCAATTATTCGCATATTATGATAGTGTTCTGTTTTTGTGTGCTTATCAATAAAAGGTCAACAAAAAGATAGATTGGGATGGAGAAACGTAGAAATGTTCGCAAATGATAGATTATCTTTTTGTTTATACACAAAAATCAGTATAAAACCAACATTTTTGCTTTAAAATTCAGAGATATAAAGAATGATCCAAAGATCTTAGACCAGTAAGGTATGTGCCTATATTTTTTTTTTGAATCAAAAATGTTGTTTTGAAACTAATATATGTTGCCGTGTAAATGAAAGAAAGGGTTACTTTGAAGTAGCTCTTTCAATATAAAATTGCATGTAAAAAAGAACTGTATTTTCCTATATAGATTGAGATCTTAAAAATATTTCTGTTTTTTATGTACTGTAGGCTTACTATTTCCCCCGTTTGAATATTTAAAGTTATGTAATAGGGTTTCAAATGATCGTCGGCAATTAGTGACAGCGTGTCTACAGTACATTTTAGATATTCAAGAGCAATGGGAAAAAAAATCCGTGTTATTTTCGACCCACAGATTGAACAAAAATTGCGATACCGCGACATTTTGACTCTGTAGAAATAAATACATTTACAATATTCAAAAGGATACAAAAATAGAAAACATATTTCATAATCTGTGAGTTTATCTTGAAATTTTCATCCTTTTCGTAGAAAAGAGCCATGGTCATTATATAGATTTAAATTGAGAAATGTGATCAATATCAATTTAACAGTATTAACAAAGCAATTAAACAAAAAAAAATATTTTTATCAGATTTGGTTAGAAATTTATGTCTCCGTTAGTAATTAAATTAAGATTTCCATTGCAGATAAGACACAATGAATAACATCAACATTTTCCTGTTGCTCTTCACATTCTACTTGGCTTCATCTGTTCTTGGTCAGAACTACTTTGGGTTAGACAACACAATAGGAGATGTTCTCGGACGTCGTCTTAGTATAGGAAGTGATCTTTCGTCCTCTCGCTCCCTTTCACCTTCTACCCAAAGCTTGCAAAATGGTTTAACTGGACTACAATCAACAAGGAATGCACTATCACCTATTGGAAGTGGTAGACTTTGGAACTACAATCCCAATCGGTTCTCATCTTGGTATTCGAGGTTCGGTCGTCCTTATGATGATGATTCAAGAGAAAGAATCAATAGATACTCAAGACGTGGATCTCGACGTTATTTAAGGAATTTCAGAAGGAGGTCAAATCGATTCGACTCAGACGAATCAGGAGAGAGGGGGAATTCTTGGACAAACTTATATAGGTCACTCAATAGGAGACGACGATTTGGTTCAGATGAGGATAGCGATGAGTCTGGTGAAAGACGGTGGGGGATCCTCGGAAGATACAATCGTCGCAGGCGAATTGGAAGCGGTTCTGATGAAAGATGGGGCTCTGGAGAAAGGAGGCGTGGGATTTTTAGGCGGTCCTATTTCGGAAGACGATGGGGCAGCGATTCTGACGAAGATTCCGGGGAAAGATTTAGATCTCCATTTTACCGATATAGGTATAGACGATTTAACCGAGATTCTGGTGAAAGATTTCGTGGTAGACGTTTTCGGTATAGGCGCCTTTTCAACAGAGATGATTCGGATGAAAGGGATGGTTTATTTAGGCGATTTAATCGAAGAAATTATCGAAACATAATATCAAGAATGAACTCTCCTTATTCATATAACAGAAGATACTTTGATTACAACCCAGACAGGTTATCGTTATTTGGCAATAACTGGAACAGATTCCGGTGGTAAAATGCTTTACACATTCCAGTGCCTAAGGGGACAGATTTTAGTGAAACAAACTGTTTCTATATTCACTGTGTTTGTTTTGATAATTAAATTATGCTTTATGTTTTAATAACGTTTTTTATCTGAGCTTAATACGGAAATAAAAGGAATGATTTGTTATTGGTGAATGGTTTCAAATCAAACCAGTGTGTTTAATTTGCTTATATATTGTGTGAATTCTAGGGGCAAATTGAGTGCAGAACGTGGGTAATAAATAATTAAACAAGCATCCTAGCTCTGATGTAAATACATGTATATATCAATTGCTAATAAAAAAACATACATGTACATGTACAACATACCGTGTCCACTGTTTCAAACTCACTAGTTGAAAATATGTATGTTTTGTCAAAATCTATGATTTTTAAAAATATTTTCGTTCCAAAAAATATATCTTAGAGACATAAATTTAAAACTTTTAAAGTAAGAAATTTCTCATTCTTTTAAATTAATGTTGAAAATCTATAGAGTAATTTCAGAAAAAAAGAAATTTTAAAAAAAGAGAAGAAATCAACAACAGTTACTGTAATAATTCCCTTGATTTTGATTCTAAATATGGTTTCAATCAAAAAATTAACAAAAAAAGAGAGAGAGAAAAGAAATAAATGAACCCAGCTGAAAATATCCTACGCATTTTCCTGTGTCAAATCATTAGTCTGGAAAAATAAGATCTCAGAAAAAAGGCAGTATCTTTCATACTACGAAATTTACATATGAAAAAAGGTTAATAACCACATTTAAGTATACTATATGAAAATGATTATGATAATAAAATAATGATAATAAAAAAGCACGTTTGTTTCGAAAATAAGCAATGTCTGTGCTAATATCCGATGAACAAGGAATTGAAAACCAACTTCTTTATACCAGTGTTAGAATTATAAATCATCTGAAGCATAGGGGATTATTATCAACGGAAACACGAGCTTTAAAAATTCATCCCAACCCAGAAAAAAATTTAAAAAACAAATGATTAGCTAGGGCACATATAACGAAATCTGTACATTTGAATCGTAAATGTAAAATGAATTTGTATGAACTTGAAATGCTTTGACGTATAGCAAGATATATGAATAAGTAATTGTATTTGTTATATGTTTGTTCCTTAAATTGTGTTAGAACCATACAACAGCCTAAAATTTGCAAGTTGTTTAATTTCCATCAAACTGTCATATGAAGCATTTGTTAGATTAATGATTGTATATATGGAAAATAAAGGGATGCAACATACATGTTGATTATACATGTATATCTTAATTACATGCATTCTTTTCATATAAAAAAATATAGTTTAGCTATTGGGCGAGAAATTGGATTTATTTCAAACATTACATGACCACCGAAATATGTGTTAAATGTTGCCGACTCGGCGTAAAACATCAATGATCAATCAACCAAACATTGCACGTAAATTGTCAAACAAGTTTACGTTCAAATAAAATATGCAAAAATGTCACTTCATCTTTTGATCATCTTAAAGACGAGGTTCTATCACAATTAAAATTTAATTAATTGTGATAAATTAATTCGCTTGTTCTTTCATGTTACTATAGGGATTACTCTGTGTTGTGTCTTCACACATTTATTTTCTACACGAACTTTAAGGAATATATTAAAATAAGATTGCAAAAATTCATTAATCCTATTAAACTATCATGTAAGATAGTTTCACCAAATATGAATTTTTGAATAAATGTTTTTATTTCTCTGTTCTTCGCTTCTGATTTCTTCATAAATATATCCACTTAGTCATAATCTGTTCATAAAACCCCTATTTTTCACTTAAAAAAAAATATATAAATATATATATATATATATATATATATATATATTTAGTCTTATTAACTTTGCATTTATCAAAAATTAAATTATAAATATTTCTTGCTATTTTACATTCTCCTGCAATTTACTAGATTAATGAAACGCAAGACGGATTAGTGAGTTTGATATTGTTTCTGAATCACCCATGAAGATAACATATCATATATTTAAAAAAATACTCTTTTTATGTCTAAATTCACTTTGAAAGTATGGAACTTTTTCATTATTTTTTTCTTACTAAGAACGTGTTCTTAAATTGAATATTGATATTTTTCTGCATCCATCAGATAATACAAAGGTCGTTGTTGCGTTAATTTTTGTTTAGTTAAGAATGCCACTCTGCATTTCTTGAAGTGCATTTTTTCTTACTGTGTGTGTTTATTTTTTATTTTTTTTTTACCCATCTAAAACATTTATTGATAACTCACAAAAACTAATTCTAATTCATTGATTGTCATTTCATATACTTATGAATTTAAAGCCTCCTTGCAGGGATCATCCAAATCGAGGTATGCGCAAACGGGACAAGCCCCTGTAAATTCCAGGATGACATCTACAAAGGACAAATTGAATACGCGCATTCCAATGTATGCAGATGCAGAATTAACTGCTGTCAACAGCTTAAATATATTCGCATTAAGTCATGTAAGGTTTAGATGATTTAGTACGAACAACCTCTAGATACTTGAGTTGAATGAACAGTATTTGAAATACACACAATAAATATACTTGGTACAATGTATATAGAATTTCGTTAACATATTTTTTTTTTGGAAATAAATTTAATTATATACAGGTGTAGAATTAAATTTTACAACATAATAATAAATGTAAGCCTATTTACTATCTTAAATTTTAGATTTACATAGGCCCTGAATTTTTATTACACTTCTTCTATTATTTTATCCTTGTATTTAGACATTTTGATATTTTTCGATCGTTTTTCTCAAATAGATTATAATGGATTATTATAATATGTTATTCTATAGTCAGCTGTTGTTATCGATATTTTAAAAATGTTTTGTTGACCAGCTAATTTCACTAAAACGTCTGTATAAGTTAAGGATCCTTCCTTAACCTGTCTTGAAAAATGTAGTTTGATTTTTCCATTACTTTCGCACAAGACATGGGGAAAACAGGACATAGCTGCACCATAAGTATTTTTCTAAGAGATACATGTAAGTATTTGTTCTTACTATATATTTTAAGTAACTTTCAAGATAGCTCAGTCGGTAGAGCGTTTGCCCCATTATTGAAATATCGTGGGTTCATATCCCGGGTAAGACTGTTTCTTCGCCAAGCGTTTGGCACTTTGAAATAAAAATTGCACGTCTTTCGATGAGTCCTTAAAAAATCTAGGGCCTGTGTCAGAACAGGCGTTGTTATGATAAAGATCCTTCACTTCTCAATAGCCCTGAGTAAAGATCTAATTTTTAAGCCATTCATCGGTGCATACTGACGGCTCTAAATGAGTCAAAAATTACCAAACAGGACGTAAAAAAATACTACATATTATAAGTCATTAACTGACAAATACTGGGTATCTCTGTATCTGAAATTATCGATGTGCACCTGGTCATCTTATTGTCTTTGTCATTTCATAGGACCAAGTATTTGATTTTGATATCAAAATGTAGTTTGACGGAAGTGCATATCAGTTTGATGATTATTTTCTTTTATAACTTATTTTCTCCTTCATTCAGTGGAAATAGCTCATAGTATATCGTTTTTATATCAACGGTTGTGACATCACAATGGTGTTTGTGTAAATTTGATCAATTCAAATATTGTAGATCTACTTATAAATATGAACAGTGCAACACATGAAATAGCTATGTGTATAAATGTTTTAAAAAGAATCTCCCATGGTTTTAGGTTTGATATGATTTTTCATCCAATGAGTTCTGTTTTTATCCCCTAACCTTAGCGAGGGGATAAAAACAAACAACTAACTGTATAAAAAATCATATCTAACCACAAAACATCGGGTATCCTTTATATATTCGATCATTTTGTTATAGTGTCAACTACATCAATCCTTTGGTATCATATGGGCTACTCTATTAGTAGCACAGCCTTTGCCAAGACCTTGTCTTTTGGCTGATATTTGGCTCACTACGAATGTCAAACTAATATGTGTACTCTTTTACTCCGTGTCTGAATGTTTTATTTGTACTAATATTGTTCAAGCAGGTGAGTTTCTGAGTCCATGGCCCTCCATTTATGCTTGTATTTTTGGAAATACAAAACAGGACAATAACTGATGCCTTGCTCCCTTATGATAGAAAGAAGCCGTGACCTATATCGCCAAATAAAAAAAATGGAAGAATAATGTATGCATATTCCTGTTTTTTCTATGTAAGCCTAAGCTTATTACATATTTTGAAAATTATTTTTCCTTCTTTCTTCATTTATTTATCTTATTTAATTATTATTTTTAAATAATTAATTAATTAAAATCTGTGTTGGTAAGGCATGTTTTAATCATAATACAAATTGATATATGTTTTCTATGTGAAAAAAAGTATCCATTACTTTTATCTGTGCTTGTCGTAACAACTTTTATTCAAATTTTTGTGAAATACTGACTCTAGATAAATATTAAGTATGAAATTATTTTTAAAATTGTATTTGACATAATTATAATAGAAAAAAAAGAATAAACTGAAACAGGATCGAAATTATAATGGAAAACAGCTAAGACATAAACATGTCTTTTATCACCATGTTTTGAAAATTTCGAAACTTGGAGAAATAAAGAGGTGTTGTAAATTGACACTAAAAAAGCCATTTTTGTAATGCCTTTTGACTTTTTATGTAGGAGCTGTGACACGCATAATCTCAGAATAAAAGCATTGATACTATTAACTCAAATCAGGCAAAATTTGGATGCTAGGTTTAATAGTTATCATGGTAACATGTCCTAAAAATTGAAAATGGCATTTTTGAACATGTTCAGAATTCAATAATTAGCGTTTGAAACAATGCAAAGAATTGGCTATGACTGTTTCCAAAATTTAAGGACTGATGCATAAACATATTTGAAAAATCAACCATTACATACGTGGCGTATTTTGTATGGTTCACTGTGTAACCATGGCAATCATGAAAGTTATTTGGGAATAACATTTCCAATACTTTATCATTTAAGGTCATTTTTGTGTAATCCTGCAGAGCAGACCGGCACATAGGGATCATTTTACCTGGCGTCTGTATGTCTATCTGTCCAGTTGTCTTTCTGTCCGTCTATCCGTCTATCACATCCAATATCTCGAGAACCTAAGAGGAATGAATTTGATATTTTGCACATATATTGCTTGAAACAATGGTTTTTAAAAAAAATTCCAATGGTTACCGACCTCGCAATCCTTGACCTTGACCTTTACCTACTTTTCAAAATGGTTCAGAGTGCT